CGCGCACCGCGCCGTGCTGGCCGCCGCCTCCGGCTACTTCCGCGCCATGTTCGGCGGGGCGCTGCGGGAGGCGCGCGCCGAGCGCGTGCGGCTGCACGGCGTGGAGCCCGAGTGCCTCGCGCGCCTCCTCGACTTCGCCTACACGGGCCGCGTGGGCGGCCTGGGCCCCGACATCGCCGAGCGCCTGCTGCGCGCCGCCGACCTGCTGCAGTTCCCCGCCGTGAAGGAGGCGTGCGGCGCCTGGCTGGCGCGCCAGCTGGAGCCCGCCAACGCGCTCGACATGCAGGACTTCGCCGAGGCCTTCGCGTGCCCCGCGCTGGCGGCCGCCGCGCACCGCTTCGTGCTGCGGCACGTGGGCGAGCTGGGCGCGCAGCTGGAGCGCCTGCCGCTCGCGCGCCTGCTCTCCTACCTGCGCGACGACGGGCTCTGCGTGCCCAAGGAGGAGGCCGCCTTCCAGCTGGCGCTGCGCTGGGTGCGCGCCGACCCCGCGGCCCGCGCGCCGCTGCTGCCGCAGCTGCTGGCCCACGTGCGCCTGCCCTTCGTGCGCCGCTTCTACCTGCTGGCGCACGTGGAGGGCGAGCCGCTCGTGGCGCGCTGCCCGCCCTGCCTGCGCTTGCTGCGCGAGGCCCGCGACTTCCAGGCCGCCCGGCTCGACCGCCACGACCACGGGCCCTGCGCCCGCATGCGGCCCCGGCCCTCCACCGGCCTCGCCGAGATCCTCGTCCTCGTGGGCGGCTGCGACCGTGACTGCGACGAGCTCGTCACCGTCGACTGCTACAACCCGCGCACTGGCCACTGGCGCTACCTGGCCGAGTTCCCCGAGCACCTGGGCGGCGGCTACAGCGTCGCCGCGCTGGGCAAYGACATCTACGTGACGGGTAAGGAGCGTGTGGGCCAGGGGCTGCCGCGTGCATGCACAGGGTGTGTCCTCCCACAGCACCCRCGTCCCGCAGCACCCATCTCCAGGTGCTCGTCTGCCCCATCAGGGCCAGAGGAGCAGAGCTGCCCGCCCGGCTGTGGCTGCCGAGGCACCACAGAGCCCTGGTCCCTCTTCCTTCCTTTCGTGTTGCTGCTGGGCCCGCAGGAAGGCAGCACACAGAGAAGCAGCCTTGTTCTGGGGCACGAGGCACTCTCACGAGCGCCTCGCTCAGGGCTGCTTGTGCCAGAACAGGCTGTCGAGAGGGCCGCCAAGCAGCTTGGCTCCTGGAGGCCCCGAGAGCAGCTCCTCGGCAGCCCTGGGCTCCTGCCGCAACGCCTGCGGTTCCTGCCGYGCCGCCCTGGCTGAGGACAGGGCAGGGACTCCTTGGGCTGGGGCGCGGAGAGGATTTAGCAGCTGATCTCAATGCAAGAGGCATTTTGTCATGACTAATGCTGCTGAGCATGCAGGCTGAAGTCGCAGTTCTTGAGCTGGCGGGGCTCTGCCGCCGCTGCCGGGATGATGGGAGCAACTTGGGTTTGAATTTCTGGCAGCGAAGAAAGGGCCGGGCAGCCTATAAATCACGAGCCAGCGCTTGTGCTCAGGCCTGTCCRCGACCTCGGAGCCCCTCTCCGAGGAGTCCCACCAAACAAGAAGGGTAGGAACTGGCTGTGAAAATCCAAGCAGCACAAACTGCCGTGGCCTTGCAGCACCTCCCTGCTTCCCAGTCTGCAGCTCTGGGAGCCAGAGAAGCGTGGGTGGATATTAGCGAGCTGGGGCTTGAAGCTGTAAGGARGAGCTCGGTCCCGAATGCAGTCCTGTCCGCCCCGACCCCCGCTGCATCCCGGGCAGGAACGGTCTGCAGAAATGCCCTGGCAAGGCTGTGTGCTGTGTTGTAGGGGGCTCGGACGGCTCGAGGCTCTACGACTGCGTGTGGAGGTACAATTCCAGCGTGAACGAGTGGACGGAGGTGTCCCCCATGCTAAAGGCCAGGGAGTACCACAGCTCCACGGTCCTGGACGGGCTGCTCTACGTCATCGCCTCCGACAGCACCGAGCGCTACGACCACTCCCTGGACAGCTGGGAGGCTCTGCAGCCCATGCTCTACCCCATGGACAACTGCTCCACCACGTCGTGCCGCGGCAAGCTCTTYGCCATCGGCTCCCTGGCGGGCAAGGAGACCATGGTGATGCAGTGCTACGATCCCGACAGCGACCTCTGGTCCCTCGTCAACTGTGGCCACCTGCCCCCGTGGTCCTTCGCGCCCAAGACCGTGACGCTCAGCGGCCTCATGTACTTCATAAGGTGGGTGCTGCGGCCGCCGCCGCACTCCTTTCCCTTAGTTGTGTCGGGAGCTGCACTTGGAGCTATGTGGAAATGCCTGAATTTAAACCTGCAGGTAACAGGTGGAGTTACAAGCTGGTGTCAGTCAGCAGTTCTGCTTTGAAKGGAGTTTTCAGGTTCCTTGGATTCTATTTCAGTCCCTGTTCTCGCTATAAATAAGCGAGCAAGCTCTAAGCAAACACTGTGATGAAGAGCAAGAGCCCTCCGTGCGAGCAGAGATAAGACGGCTGGCGCTGAGATGACGGGGCGCTATTTTTAAGCATCTTTCCAGTACAGGATTTAATCGCCCCTGTGGCTCAAATACTTAAGTTATCCACGTAATTAAAASCAAGCAGGCAGGTTTGGTCTCTCTCAGCCCGGCATCCTGGTTCGTGGYTCTTGTTGGCAGGGAGGAGTTTGAGTTACTTGGATTTCATCAAATACCTGAAAGGGCATTGTAACTGTTTTCATCATAAGCCGGCTGTGTTTGATTGGGGTTTGTTGTTGTTGTGTTTGTGTTTTATTCCTGATGGCAGAACCCTCAGGATTTCTGAATGTCTGCAGGTGTTGATAGGAGACCTGCAYGTGTTTCCTTTCTCTGCCCCCCTTCTCCGTGTGCTCGGCACAGTCCTGGTGGCACGAGGGAGCGGGTTAGCTGACTTTTTGTTCTCGGCACAAACTATTTTGAAGTGGCTTCTGCCTCGCACTCCCCCCTCGTGGGCCTGGTTCTGTAGCTATAAATACAGCCTCGCCGCGAGGCTGCTTCTTCTGTTACGCCTTGATTAGAACTGCCCTCRGGCTGGGGAGGGTGTCGTGGCTGGGGCTGCTGCTCCTGCTTCTCCTTCCCGGCGCTGGGTTCCCCTTTCACCCGTTGGACTCGGAGCAGGACATGTCCCCGGCGCTCGGCCGCGAGCTGCTTCCAGGGAGGGGAGGCCGTTTCTCTGTAGCGCCCTCCGGACCCCAAACGTCATTTACAGGTGCCCACGTGAGGGATGTTTCTCTCAGATGAATATCTAGTGAATTACCCCAGCTACTAAAGGAAGCGATGTCGAAATATTTATGCTGTAGGAATATYTGTTTGGAATAGTGATAGGGAGACCCACATCCACGCCCTGCTGTAGTCTTAGCTGGAGTGGTTTTAGGTGTAATGGGTCACCAAGCAGCTAGCGCTGTGGTGGGTGAGATTTCCGCACTTGTTTTTGCTTCCCCTGCCCTTTATTCTGATTCCTGCGAGGCATCTGGAGCGCTGTCTCGCCAGCAGCACAGTGCAAGGCAGCGCGTGAGGTAAAAGGCCAAAGGTTACCTTTGAATGCCATGGGGTTTGTCCTTTTCTCCTATAAATCATAAGCTGGATCTTCCCTAAAATGAACTTGCAGCCGTAGAGCAGCTGCCTCAAAAAGCTGGTGACTCTTGAAGGCTGTCCAGTTAAGCAAAGAACTAGAGAAATGAGACGCTGAGAACTGAATTTCGGAGGCCAAGTCCATTAAAATGAAGACTCGGGTTGATCAGAAGTCTSAAGCCTGTGCATCTCGCTAGTTTTTGGGTCTTGTTGCAGCACAACCCGACCRTCTCGGCGTGACTTTCGGCGCTGCTCTGGCTGCGCCGGCCCCGTCCTTGGCGCGTCCCGGCGCCGGCGGCAGCGCCTTCGTGTCGCAAACCGCCCTCACCTGTCGCTGTCTGGCTGCCGCCTTGCAAGTGGGACAGCCCAGGGGAGCCTGGGCCGAGACCCCGGAGCACTCGGCATCGCGCTGGTTGAGGGTGGAGAGGGGCTCACAGCTTGTGCCGTTGCCCTGGCCTCCGCTGCCTCCCCCGGCGGGGCTGTGGGGCCAGACGATTTAGGGACATAAAGTGACCATCTTGTGTCATCTCCCGCAGGGATGACTCCGCTGAAGTGGATGTTTACAACCCAGTGAAGAACGAGTGGGATAAAATCCCCGCCATGCTCCAGGTAGGTCGCTTGACCGGCCTCCTGGGTACCTGTCAGTGTTAAAAATTGGCCCCAAATTGTGGCTTTGGAAAGCGACAAACATGGAAGGTGTTCAGACATAGGGTGGCTGCCCAGCAGAAACGCTCTGGGGCTCTCCCACGATGACTGTGCTGTGTTTTCCTTACTGGCCTGCAGGTTCACGTCGGGGGGAGYGTGGCCGTGCTGGGTGGGAAGCTCTATGTCTCCGGCGGCTACGACAACACGTTTGAGCTGTCGGACGTGCTGGAGGCCTACGACCCCGAGGCGCGYGCGTGGAGCGTAGCCGGCCGCCTGCCCGAGCCCACCTTCTGGCACGGCAGCGTCAGCATCTTCCGGCAGTTCATGCCGGAGACCACGCAGGAGGACGAGGGCATCGCGCTGGACAACACCATCAACCTGAGCCGGCAGCGCCCGGAGCTCCGTGAGCAGAACCTCAAYGAGCTGCACTAGCGGGGACGGCCCCGCGCCGCTGCGAGGGGAGGCAGCGGCCGCCGGTGCTTGGACACAAACGCGCACCCATYGGGGCAGAGGGAGTAAAACTTGAGTGCTAAAGGTGCCCTCGTAGAGGCGCGGGTGTGGAAAGGAAGGGCCCCCCTGGCGCAGCGTCCTCGGCCCCGCTGCGGAGGAGGGAGGCCCGGCGCCTTTTGTGGAGGCCGTCCGCGCRGCGGCCTCCGAAGAAAAGCGTCGTGTCTGGCCTCCCCGAAGAAGAGTCGCTTGCGGTTCCAGCTCCTGGTCAGACMCTGCCCACGGGAAGCTCCCTTGCCCCGCAGCGCTGCTCGTTGGCTGCCAGATTCCTTTCTCCGTGGYTTCGTCCAAGGGAGAAACAAATGCGTTAGTAGAACAGCAGGGAGAGGCAGGACGGACGCGTACCGGGCCGAGCCCGCTGCAGTGGGGGAGCCCACGGCAGCCGGTGGCCCTGCCGGTCCCGTCGCCCCAGCCTTGGGCTCCCGCTCGTGCTCTCAGACCTGGCTTCTCCTGCCAGCCAGCCAAGATCTTCCGGAGGCACGGAGGCCAGGTGATGAGTCTTCACACTCCCCGTTGTCTGAATTCTTCAGGTACTTTCAGTTGTAGTRTTTTAAGGTTTTGTGGGTATTTGTTGCCTTACCTTCTAGGAGAGAGACTTTTATTATTTAAGGAGCACCTTCATTTATCACTTAATGACACTGACACAAGTAGCTTGTTTTCGGTTTTGATCACCCACCCTGCATGTTCCCGCGMGGGGGAGCGGGCGGGCGGCTCCTGGGGCTGCTCCCTTGTGCCAGGGCCCTCGGCCCCTCTCCTCTCGTGGTTTCACAGCACTCTCCTTCCTACCGGGCTGCTCGGCCGCCCGAGGAGCTTGGCAGAAGGCTCCTCCAGGCACCTCCCTGTAGTGAAGGCTCTTGCTGCCCGTTCTTCCCTATCAAACTCCTGGCAGCCGTGTTGGGCCAGGAAGATGGGTCCTGGCTAGTGAGGGCAAGTGCTTGGTTTTTTCCCTTGCCTGTACAGAGGAGCTAGGTTGGAATTCAGTTATTTTAGCAGTAACCTGGAAAGTGGGAGGGGAGAGCAGCACAGGTTCCTTGGGAAGGTCAGCACACACTTGCAGGTCAAATACTGGTGGTGATTTAGGCTCCTTGGTGGAAAGGATCCTTTCAGAGGGATCAGCTCATGGGAAGGAACCTGCTGAGCATCTGGAGAGATCACAACGTTTGTCCTGTTCTGCAGTTTGCAGAAGCACTTGGAATTTGAACAGCCAGAAAATGCTCCCACAGACCTTTGGCCAAGGGGTAGGAGCTTACAAGAGTGCTAGCAGATTGAGAGAGAATTATTTTAGGTTTTCCTTAGCGGGGGGGTGGGGGTGCAGTGAAGGTTTGCTTTTATTCTTGCTCAAGTAATGTAGTTTGCTTGAGTATTTCCTTTAATGATTTGAGGCAAGTGTGTTTCAGCAGGAACTCTCGCAACTCACGGACTGTCTCTGGCACTAGAAAACGGTCAGAATTGCAGTGGGGCTCGTAGCAGAGCTGGTGTTACACCCTCAGAAAGAAGTGGAAGATAAAGCAGCAGCTGGGATGGTGGCTGCTTTTGCGTGCCTTTTTTTCTCTCCCCTGCCCCATTAGAAGAAAAATGGGAGTTTTGTCTTACTTGAGAAAGAAGCAGCCCCTAACCTTGCTGGCGTTCCCTCTAGCCAGAGCAGTCAGAACCTTATCTCCGCAGCGAGCAACGCGTTCACAGCTTCGTTAAACAGACTGTTTTGCCTTGAATACTGTTTCATGCTAAGCTACTTAGCAGCAAAACTTGAAAAACTTGTTGGCGAYGTTCGGGCTCTCGCTGAGGTCTGAAACTCGGACAGTGCCTTGACGCTGGTTCGTGCCGCCGAGGGCGCCGCGGTCGGGGTCCCGCGCGGCCGTCCCGGGGCCGGCTCCGTGCCCACCACGGGCCTGGGTGCTGGGCTCCGTACGGGCACGCTGAGCTAACCATGATCCCTGTGCTAGGTTTAGTGCTCACCGGCGCGCTTGCCACCCCGAATTCCCTGAACCAGCTCAGTAATTCTGGATTTGTATTTATTTTTTGTAAATCCATTGTGCCCAAATCTTTAAGTACTGTTTAGATACCATCCTTTGAAGCAAAGGCATTTTACATTTACAGATAATGTATTTTTATTCTCATGGTTTGTTTTTAAATTTACTTGAATCAGTCAAGTTAAATAAAACATGATACATGAGTGTTTTTAGCTTTTCAGTGGAAAAATTACTGGTTTAAGCAGCTACTGCCATGTTTCTCGCCGTGGGCCTGGGCGCATTTAAAGAGAGGAGCTGCCGCCGTGGTGAGTAGCAGAGGGCCTGGCTGCCRCTGGGGTGAGTGTGAGCACCCAGGGACACATGATGGGTGACCTGCGTCCCCTGAGGGGACACGCAGGGTCTCCGCTCAGTGACCATCACTCCTTATTTCACACAAATGCTACTTGCACGTACAAATCCCCCACCTTACAAAGGGCCCCATGTCTTCCCTTAGACAGCAGCTGAGTTACTTCAGCTGTGGGAAGACAGGGACTGACAGGGCAATGGGGACAAGTGGCAAAGGCCCCGCGCGCAAGGCAGGAGGAGGCACGCGTGGCGTGATGCAATGGGCCTTTTAGCAAGTGGTTAAGGAAGAGGACAGAGGGACTCTGTCTTCCGGAAAGCACCTTTAACCACAAGTTTCCAGACTCAAATTTAGAGCTAACTGAGCAATCTGAAAACAATCCCGGGTGATGCATCCCTCCCTGCGGCCTTCTGGTCACAGGTGACAGCTTACTGAAAAGCAGCATTCACAGTATTGGGTACATGAGTCACCAGTCACATCCAGTCTTGCACAGCGTATGTGCAATTAGCTCAAGTTGTAATTCTCAGTAATTGTTTCTTCATTTGATACCTGCTTTAACTTCATTGGAAAGGTTCCCGCAAGCTGCTGATGGTAGAGGAGGAGCGAAGAGGCCTCCTTGCCCCTCGGGAGAGAAGCAAGGGGCAGAGCTGCTGCAGGCTGGCGCCTCCCTGCCCTCGCAGGCAGGACGGGCACGAGGGCCCCGTCACGTTGCACAGTCTGCAGGAAGCGTCGTCGTTATTATCAGCGATGGCTCCACAACCTCAGCCGGGGAGAAGCTCTCGTTGGGGCACAGTCTCTGCACGGGCATCTCGTGGGCCGGGGGCTCCCCAACGCCGTGGGCCGAGCCCCCGGGCAGCTTGTGGGGCGGCTGCAGCGCCACCCCCACGGCCTTCTCGTCCTCGATGACCAGGTTGCGCAGCTTGCGCTGCCGCGGGTTGTAGTTCTCCACGCGGTCGTGGATCTCCCTGTGGCGCCTCAGGTGGGCCTGGAAGGGCGAGAGCGATGGCAGCCGCCGGGAGCCCAGGGCTGCCTGCGGCAGGGGAGCGCGATGGCACCGCGACGGCAGGGGAGCGTCCGCGGGAAGGAGCCCCTCGACCCAGAGGAGCATCCACAGGGAAGGTCCCCTCAACCCGGGGAGCACCCAGGGGGAAGGATCCCGCGCAGCCCTGCCAAGAAGCTGCTGACCCTCTTCCCCACCGCCAAGCGCAGCGCGAGGCATGGCCAGCGAGGAGCAGCTCCGCAGCCCGAGGTGCCGGCCGGGCACCGCGTCTCGCTTGGGCGGCGCTCCTCCAGGATGGGTTCCCGCCTGCTCGCTCCGGTCCCCGCGGGCGAGCGGCCGCGCGCCGAGGGGCGCAGGGCAGCGGGGCTCCCAAGCCCTACCTGCCGCGTGAACTTGTAGCCGCACTCGCTGCACTCGAACTTGCGCACTCCCTTGTGCCTGCGGACGTGCACGCGCAGCTGCTCCACAGCTGAGGAGAGAAGGGGGAAACGGGTCACGGCACCGCAGCTGGGGCCCGAGCTACGCTAAGCATTCCCGGGGCAAGGACGCACTCGGACTGCTGCTATTCCAAGGCACTGAGAAGGGCAGGGGATTTTGTTGTTGCTGTTAGGCGAAAGGCTGGAGCTTTTCCTTTTTAAAAAACCTTCCATCTTTCCTCATCTCCCAACTGCTCCTCTCCGAACTAAGACCCTGGGCAGCTCCATACAGCTGAGGAGCCATGTGAAACAATRCTGTTTTTCTGGAATCAGCTTCAGCTGTGCCTGGGAGCGCTGTCTTGGGGGCACGTGGGCATTTGTCACAGCGTGACAGAGGACGATGCCCTCGGGAAGGTGACTGCCAGGGAGCAGGGAGCRGCTGTCCCCAGTGCGGACGCGGCAGCCGTGCCGTTACCTTTGAAGGTCTTGGCGCAGATCTGGCAGAAGTGGGGCCGCCCCTCCTGGTGCCTGCTGGCGATGTGCCTCAGGAGCGGCCCCTTCTCCGTGAACCTCTGCTCGCAGAACTCGCAGCTGAAGGGCCGCTCCCCGGTGTGCGTCCGGTTGTGCTTGTCCAGGCTCGCTGCCGTCACCGGGGGAGAGAGCACGTGCCGCGGTCACGGTGCAGCCCACGCCGCGGTCACGGTGCAGCCCACGCCGCGGTCACGGTGCAGATGCCCCACGTGCCGCCGCGGGCAGGAGCGTGCACTGTGTGCTCGCTCCTTTGGGGAGGTACGAGCAGGAGGCTGCTCCTCGTCTCAGCTCCCCGCGGAGACACCAAGGCAGCTGTTTTCCTGGGGCAGCTGCTCTCGGGAGGCCCTGGCCAGCAAGAGGCGGCACTGCAGCCTGCGGGGCCTCGAGGCAGCAGGAGCGGGGTACCTTGTGTCCGGAAGGTCTTGCCGCAGAGGTGGCACTGGAAGGGCTTCTCGCCCGTGTGCGTGCGCAGGTGCATGTTGAGGTTGGCTTTCTGCGTGAAGGCGTGATGGCAGAACTCGCACACGTAGGGCCGCTCGTTCCTGCGGAGAGGGAGAATGGCTCTGATCACCCCCGTTCCGGACCGTTCCCACTCAAAGAGCCGCTTTTGGTTTTGCCTCTGCGAGCCGCAGTCGCCCAGGTCGGCGGTTACTAACGGGAAGGGCTCGCGCCGTACCTGTGCTTGGCCTTGATGTGCATCTGCAGGCCGTTGCGGCTCGAGGCCCGGTGCCCGCACTCCTCGCACACAAACAGCTTCTCTCCCCGGTGCTTGAAGGCCTCGTGCAGGCGCAGCTCTGTCCGAGACAGGAAGCACTTGGAGCAGGTTGAGCACTGCAAGGCCACAGGAGACGGGGGTTAGGGCCGTGGGCCTGGCCACGGGCAGAGCCCCCTGCGCCGGGGGGACGGCGGGCAGTCTCCGCGCGCCGTGAGCTCGGTTGGATCCTGCATGCTGGGATCCCCGCTGCCGCCTGCCCTGCCCCGCGCCAGGCAGCCCCGCTCACCGCATGCGGTTTCGGCGCCCCGTGCAGCTTTATCATGTGGCTCTGCAGGTCCTTCTTCTGCATGAACTGCTGCGCGCAGGAGGAGCACTGAAACACAGGGGGAAGAGCGCGCTGCTGGACAYCCCCCAAGAGCGGCTGGACGCGGCGGGAGCCCCACACCGCCGGCCACAATGGACACAGGCAGAGCGGCGGCCGCGACCTGCCCGGGGCTGCCAGGCGCGGGCCCGTGTCGGAAGGAAAAGCTGCGTCCTTGCGACTGCAGCCCCGGCACGGGGCCGAGCTGACCTCCCTGTGCAGCCCCCGCCGGGCTCTCCCCGTGTGGAAGGGGCGGCCGCGGCGGCGCCGCCAGGCAGCTGCTCGCAGGGGCGCTCCGAGGCCGCGGCGCTGACCTTGTACGGCATTTCCCCCGTGTGCGACACCATGTGCAGCCGCAGCTCCATTCGCCGCTTGAACACCTCCTGGCAGACGGAGCACGTGAAAACCTGCACGAAGTGGGAAGGTGTCGGCGTCGGCGCAGCAAGCAAACAAGGCGGCGGCAGCGCRACGCGGAGCCAGCAGCCGGTGCAGCCTGTCACCGCGGTGCGCGGCAGGGAGCGCGCGGCCCTCTCTGCTCCTCAACCTCCACCCGTGGAGCTGTGCGTGCCTGCGAGCGCGTTTTCCTGAGCACAGCACGAGGCCCCGCACAGCCACAGCAGGAGCAGCGGGGAGCCCAGCCCCGGCGCAGCCGCGCTGCGGGCGAGCCACAGGGCCCTTGCCGGCGAGGGCAGCATGAGGGGAGTGCAGGGAGCGCAGAGGAAGGGGCTGGGCGGCCCTCACTGCAGGAAGGCAGCAGCGCCGGCGTTCCCGTGCGAGCCGGGGGCCGTGCAGCCGTGCGCCGCCTTGCAGACAGGCCCGGTGCGAATGAACGTTGTTTTGTGGGACAAGGCTCCCCGCTGCCTCGGGCACTGCCTGCGGCTCCCCCACCTACCTGCTCCGATCGGTTCATGCAGTTCCTGGCTTCGTGCTCCAGCAGGTTCTCTTTCCTGAAGTAGCATTTGCCGCACTTGGAGCACTTGAATGGCTTTTCTCCGGTGTGTTTCCTAGGGGGAATGCAGAGCGCGGTCGTTACTGCAGTGCAGGAGCTGCCCAGGCCCTATGGCAGGAGCCTCGAGCCGCGCTCGGGGACGGCTGTGCTCCCGCACCGCGCGGGCCGCTGGCGGCGGCTCCAGTGCCACCGTTGGAAGCGTGGGTGCTCCGCGGTGCCCCTGAAACCCCATGGTGCCCAGTGCTGGAAGGCACCACCCCGTTACCTGTTGTGCACCTTCAGGTAGTACTTGCTGAGGAAGGTTTTGTGGCACGTGGGGCACTCGACGGGCGCAGCGGTGCCCCTGCCACTCGCGGGGACCACGGGCAGCTCCACCGCATCCCCAGGCCCTTTCCCTGCTGGGGCCTTCTTCTGCGCGCGCGGCGGCGGCAGCAGCTTCTCCTCAGCAGCGCCAGCGGGGTTGGGGTCGGTCCCATCGGGCTCGGTGCCTGCAGGGTTGATGCCCATGGGGTCGGTGCTTGCAGGATCGGGGTCAGTCCCGGCGGCGTCGGTGCCCGCGGGGTCGGGGTCGGTGCCGGCGGGGTCAGTCCCGGCGGGGTCGGGGTCGGTGCCGGCGGGGTCAGTCCCGGCGGGGTCGGTGCCGCCGCCCTG